TTTTTAACCGAAGAGCCTCAAGCACAGCCAATCGGTGACGCGCCTGCCACTTCCTCAAACTGGTCCCAGGTTTCCTTGGGAATGGTAGTGCTCTTCGGGCGTCAGCCTAACGTCCTCAGGCGGAGTATAGGAAACGCAGAAACTACAACTCCCAGAGTTCCGCCGCGCGTTGCCAGGGAGGCCGCCGCCATGCTGCCCCTAGCTACTGAGCATTCCGTCGGCTTGCCAAAAAGGCGACCCCTCCTCTGCCTTGCTCTTTTCACGATTTCCATAGGTCCCGGCTCACGTCAATCCCCCGGAGTCCTGCCTACTCCTCCGCTCTCAGCGGCGCTGATTGGCCAGAAGCACCCTCAGGTTGCGACGTCCGTCCCCGTTCGTGCCAGCGATTGGTCCGTGCGGACGCCCGTCGGCGTGGAGGCCGCGCCCAGAGGGTCGGGCTGGAGCTGCAGGCGCCTGCGGGCTCCGGCGCCGTTATGCGAGGAGCGGCAGCGTTATTGCTGAGCAACCGAGACAAATAGGCGAGCAGCCACATACAGGGGCTGGGCTAGTCTCTGTGCGAGCGCATTGTGTATATACGGCTATAGTGGAGTGGATACACGTATACACTCACAACAGTCCAGAAAAGGGTAAGTAGGAGACTTGGCTTCTTATTTCTTGTAAGGATGCGTCGTTAGTTTATCGCTGGCCGGGTTGGCGAGAACAGGGGTAATAATAAAGCACAATGCACTTGAATACTGAAACGCTTTTCTCCGTCTCCATGTCTGTGGAGCTCGCAGCGGTACAGTCTGGCCGGGACCCCCCGGCAAGCGGCTCTGCCACACGGGCGGGGGGACCGGGGAGTCTTCTGTCTGCTCGGGGCCGTCCGGTTAGTCCGGTTCTTTCCAGAAACGCGTCCCCGGTGCAGGGGGTGTTCCTGCGCGGCGGTGACACCTCGGCTCTGCTGGGTGAGGGTGAGGGGGGGCGCGGTTAGCCGTCCTCGTGAAGGCGATGGAAGAGAGGCAGGGGCGGATAGGGGTCCCCCCCCCTCCC